AGGAACATTGCCATTAAGGCTTTACAGACCTTCGCTCATGAAGACGGAAAGACGTTAGTTTCAGACAAGGTTTTCAAAATCAAATATTAAAAAAGCTATTTCTGAACAGCCTGCAATTTTCTACCACCCTGGAGCATTTTCTATTATTCCTTCTCATGTTGAGGGTGAAATTCTGTCCCTCTATTGTAGCCGGATATATGCTGACCGTTTTATTTGGGATTACGCTTCAAACGGAAATAAATGTTGAAGCTCGCCCATGCATATGGATATTTCCCCACACTAGAGCTGTGTATTATTACATTTTGAACCATCCTTTTAAAGTTCATAGCGCTCGAAAGACTAGTTAACCCGAGGTCTAGAATGAGTCGAAAAGACTGTTGCACATACTCACTGGCCATGTGAAGGATTATTGTAATGTAATATTTTATATGATATTAAGGCAGAAATTGACTACTTTAAATAAGTTTCAGGAAAAGTACGATCCCAGGTATTTTTCGTCTACCTTTTTACTTTACTTCAGTTTATATACATTAGTTGTTTGTATTATTCAAAACGTCCTTGATTGGTCCAATCGCATGCACGCGATAGAACCTTGGCCGTTTGAACGCCTTACCTATGTGGGAGGATAAAGTTTACAGTCAACAGTGTTTTAAAGATATTCAACATCGTACCAGAAAGTTAGTTTCCACTTAATATTTTTTATTGTACCAGCTCATCGGATCCTACTGGGTCTGATGAAATTTTGCCAGTTGATAGCGCCCATGTACCTCCACGTATCCCGAATATTCCAACCACTTGCTACGGTGAAAATCTGGAAGTAACAGCAGAAAAAGTACTACAGTCCTCGGCAGCCCAAAAGCATAATCTAAAACCCGATTGCCCGGTTCCACAGGTCCTCCCTCGTCGATCGCCTTCTTCGTTTGTGTATGGCACACGTGCTCCACGAAGAGGCACGTGCCTTATCCTCTCGGTGGATAAATTTAAGCCCGCATTATGCCTCCCTGGAAGACCTGGGGCTGAGATTGATCTTCAAAATTTGCAGCAGACATTTTCTATGCTGGATTTTGATGTAAAGATATACTGCAATCCGACGGCGGCTAACATGACAGCAATTGTTGAAGCAGGTAAATTTACCTAGTTGTAAATAGCTCTTGTTGTGTTTTTCGACATTTACGATGTCAGTGGTGCCATAAAATTCGTAGCCACGTTAACTAGTACAATTTCACATGAAAACTACCTCATTTAGAAAATGTGACGCCTGGTTTAATATTTCGAAGTCTCTGCCGAGAGACTTAGAGTTTTACGATTTCCTATTGATATACATTTTTTCTGTAATTAATCACGAAATAATTTTACATAATCATACTGTTAGAAAATTTTTCCGTTGTGTTATAGGTATTTAGAACTTGAAACAATTGGTTTAGCACGGTAAAATTCTTCCTTATATTTATTGATCTGTTCCACATCTTAACAACGACAGATAACCATATCGTGGTCAAAAGTCATGTACGCTGGATATTAAAATGTCTATGATGCCTTTAGAATTATTTTAGGAAACAGTGGTGCCGTAATCGGCGCTGACCATCTTCATTACCGTATAATTATAATTTAGGTAGGATATTAGCTGCTTCCATGGACAATGTTTATTAAATTCTGGGATAGCTAAAGAGTCCACCTTTACCTATAAATATACGTCAGCAGCAGGCGCGGGATGCCGTCTTTATGATTTTGCTTAGGCTGCAGTTTTTAGATTGTCAAACTTCGCACCTAGGGGTACTCGGCTTTTAAATAAGACCCATGAATTGGACTACAAAAGACAGCGCGCACGTACATCGGCATTGCACGTTTCCACGTTCTGATTAACTACTATAGTTCCTTATGCTAGAATATTGTCGTAATTTTTATTGGATTGGTTCAAGACACAACGTGCTTGAGGGAGTTTCTGGATGGAGTTAAACGTGTCTCAGTCCAGACCGCAGACCGGGCTGACCAATGTTCTCAGTATCAGCGTAGCATCCATATTATATACTCTAACATGGAAAACGACAAGATTTTAGACGTATATTGCCATGGATTATGTGCACTTTTGATCCCTTCCATTGGGTCTACCTAATTTAGCAGGTGATGATTTATGAACGTAGACCGCACGGTGACGATAATTTTTTGAATATTATTCTCACTGTCTGCTGTTTGGTTGAAGAGTCTGTGTTTGGGTAGTAACGGTGATTTACTCGGCGCTATCCAGCTCCACTTTACATGATAACTATATAATTCATCAGTTTGAAACAGATTTATATCTAGGTCCTTGTCTGACCCTAATAGCAAAACGAGCTCGAATCGAGCTCGTTTCGATGTCGTTAACTCGAAAAATCGAGCTCGAATCGAGCTCGATTTGGCCGCCTGTTCGAGCTCGAAACGAGCTCGAAAAAAACGAGTTCCGAGCGAGCTCGCTTTTGCGCGCTTGAAGCTCGAAAAATCGGCAGACGCGCATCGGCCGACGATGAGAGCATGCAAAAAATCAATAAGCCAATCGCCTATCGACTACGTAATTATCCCAGCCAATGACAACCTAGCACGCGTGACGCGCGCATTTGCGTATTACGCTAATGCGCGCAATGCTATTAGGGGAGTACGTATAGCAACCATAACTTCAATTTAACAATGCGTCTGCGCATAGTTTGAAGCGACTGAAGCGTTTTGTTCGTCAGTTCCATTGTCGGTCACAAAATAATAGCCTCGATCGATAAAATAAATTCCAAAATGCCTTTTTTAGGCACACAAGGACCTTTTGCTCTTTATTTCAGAGCTCAAGTTTCGTTTTTGGCTACATCTGAAGTACGATTCACTGACATGCCCCCCTTCTTCATTATTTTTGTCGCCGTTTTGAAGAAATGTTAGACACAGGCGTACACTCAGTGCAGAAATTGCTGCTACTGCTAGTAAAGGCTACTACTACGATAGTAAAGGCAGCAACGCCTAAACCTAAGATATTGGAAAGGATTGGCCACAACGTTGTCTGTTGTACTAAAATATTCTTGCAGAAGATTATCGAAGTTACCCCAACTAGCTGCCAGGCTACTTTCAAATGCACGGCATTACCATCCTGTGAGATTTATTGAACGAGTAATAAATTCTGGAAATAGCACAGTTACTCTTTAATAAAAGGTCTTGTCCAAGACGGACGCAAATGAAGAAACTTGCCTAAAGACAAGAACTACCCTCCAGCTAATTTTTTGGCCCTAAGGAGGCTCCAACTGACGGGATCCTAATCCGCAATAGCATGTTTTGCTGTTTGTATACGTTCTTAAATGGAAGAGATAATTTTATGAAATTGCTAGACCAATAAACAGGGAAGTTGTCTGATGCTAGTTCTCGACTAGGCCTCTTTCCAGCCACCTTTTTAAATCCTACTCGGAAAAATATCAATGAGTAGTGTCTATTTTGTGTACTGCTTTTTGGTTGCTGTATAAACGTGTCCTATTCTCTAGCAAAACCACTCCGCAAGCACACTCCTTCTGGCCACTTTATAATAAAGTACACTAATTAATTATTTCAATTTGGGTGGGTATTGGGCTAATGTTCAAAGCGTTTTTGGTGCCTGCATCTTCAGTGACGTCTATCCTTAAGATTTTCAGACTGCACGTCATGCTTCTTCTTCAGAGGAAATTCGGAGACTTCTATAAAAATGTCTTTTACTGATCGTTTACTATTGCAACATTACTAAACCTGGACATATAAGGATAGACGACGTAGTTTGGAGAAAATTAATCAATCACTCAAAAATTTGAACAGAGTTTATTTCCTGTGGAATTGGTATGAAAACGAATGTTTTCATGCATTCTGCCATTTTTTTGAATTTTTTTCGCCATAGACGAATAAACAAAAAGGGCACGCACCTGTTTTATGTGATAAATCTATACTTGTGCATTTAACTTACTTCGATGCTTTAGAAGCAATTCGTCAAAGCCCCAAAGCTATTGACTTAAGATGGATATTCTGATAATGCAGTTGACCCAATTATTGAAATTCGCGGCCACGGTGAGAGTCGAACCTTCACAGCAGGGGAGGCTTTTGTGCAGCCAACGCTCTACCACTGAGCTACGAGGCTCACTGTGAGCCCTAAACTTAATCACACTTGGGTCCAACCTACTGCTCGTATGGAATCCACCATTATGGGTACAGTAAACTGACTGCCCAGGCAGGATTTCATGAGCAATTATCAAGAATTAATCAGAATGAGTACTAGGCTCGCTTAATTATCATTCTGATAATTATTTATCCACGCTGTCCCAAGTGGACTTTTCCATTTAATAGAAAAATTTTGATCATCGTTTTCTGAGTTTCATACTATTATCCAGTCCAACCTTTTACCCAAAACACGATATTTTGTTCATATTCTAGTCATGTAGACTAGCCTTTGCCTTGACGCTTATTCGTCGGAACATCCAGGACTTCTAGAATGTCCAGTGATAACTGTTTTATTAATTCGCCTTTAGATGAACACTTTTTTACTCGACGGAAGTCAGGAGCTGCATAACGCGTTCTTGACATCGCTGTTTAAAAACAGGTTATCGATGGTCTGAAGGTCAAGATCAAAAACATCAAGTCCAATTTGTAGATCGAAAGTGAGTAATTAAGCAGGTCGCTGACAAGAAAGTTCTGTATGGTTCACGTGTACCTGAATGAATGTCGATATTTTTAACACCTTGTGTGACAGATTCGTGTAGTCCCTCCCCTCGAATGAACCCCAAGGACGACAAATACGTATTCGGCTAACATCCTACTTGCATTTTTTGTTGAAATAAAGCCGTTTAAAACGGCCACCAATTTTCTGTCAGTACTATTAGAGTTCACTCAGTGTCTCCTGATTATTTGGAATTTTAAAGTGTTCAGTACCTTCTTTTAAGTTCTCCACATCAAAATCAAGCTTATTGTTAGGTTCTTTGTCGTTCATTGTGGCGTCAAGTGTTCGGTTAATATTCGATGATTCTTAAGCCAATTCTTCACTTTTAGTAAAGTACAAACAGTCCAAAGGTACATTTGCCTGTGCTTCAGTTTCCTAAGCAACAGGGCTAGTTTATATGCCCCCCTTAGCGGCGCGACACGGGGCAAGTGTCCGTAACGTAAATGACCTTAAAAGAATTTCCCGGGAGCTTCAAGTTAGAACCATGTTTAGGGGTTAAGGTTTAGGGTTAGAAGTAGGACTCTTGTTCAGGTTAGATTTAATGTTAGTCTTAGAATGTGAGGAATATCTACCTTATCCAGGAATTTGGCAAAATGCCGCCTTCAGTGTTGTGGGGCTTTCCTAAACCACCTTCGCGATTCTAACCCCTCAAACTGAGGAACATGCTCTTTGCAGTAGATAGCCCCTATTTTAGGAAATGTTTTGCTTATTAGTAAAAGTTAGCTTCCTATAATAATGAGAGCGCATTTCTGGTTT